AGAGAGAGAGAGAGAGAGAGAGAGCGAGCCCAGCAAAGTCTCCAGTGACCACGGATTTCATTGGGGGCTGGTCACAGAGGGAACCTGTAACGAGTATCAAAAGCGAAAGAGAGAGAAAGAGAGAGAAAGAGAAAGAGAGACGTTTCTGTCCAAGGAAGCCCAGCAGAGTCTCCAGTGACCACGGTTTTCATTGGGGGCTGGTCACAGAGGGAACCTCTAACCAGACTCGCGAAGGAAAGCAGGGTCCACCAAGCCATGCTTCATCAGCATGTTGGCGTGCATCCCTTTGTGAGCTGCTGTAGCTCCAAGCTTAGTGTCCTTCAGTAACAGTACCCAAAAGCGCGCGCGCGAGAGAGAGAGAGAGAGAGAGAGAGAGAGAGAGAGAGAGAGCGAGCCCAGCAAAGTCTCCAGTGACCACGGATTTCATTGGGGGCTGGTCACAGAGGGAACCTGTAACGAGTATCAAAAGCCCAGACTCGCGAAGGAAAGCAGGGTCCACCATAAGCCATGCTGCCTGCACAGTCTGGGCACCGCTGGCTACCCCGGCAGGTACATGGCCACTGGGAGCCCCGAGAGTCACGCTCTCAGATGCCAGCCGCGGGCCGCCTGCACGCAGGCCTGGAGAAGGACAGCAGTCTCCGGCTGCTGTGTTAACTCTCCCACAGCGTTCTTCTTGTTAAAACTTAAACATCTGAAATGAAAAATCACTGCCAGAGAGAATCAACTCCGAAGTTCGTTACTGAGAGTTCCCACAGCGAGGATGGGACCGCGCACCCATGTTATTCGCTGGGCGGGGGCTGGTTCACATGCGGTGTCGACCTAGTTAGGTTCAGCTGCCCCGTGTACAGCTCCATGCAGATGCTTAAGTGTTGGATGGACGGATGGAAGGACGGACGGACGGACTGATGGATGGCCAGACAGACGGACAGATGAACGAACATACAGATGAACAAACTAACTAACCAATCAACTATGACTTAACTATCTGGAACCACCAACAACTAGAGGCAACTAACTATCTCCAGAAAATCCAAAATGTATCTTTAAAAACCATGACATGAAGCAGATGCTGCTCATGGAGAGAATGGGCCCCTAGCTCACTCACAGCCTGTTCGCGCTCGTGTTGAAAACTGTTATATAACAAGCCTAGTTAAGCAGCCCCTGAGCCCACAGCCATTACAAAGGAGCCGAGTAACGGGAGGAGAGGGACCAGTACAGAAAGGCAGCCTGAGAGCTACAACCAGGACTGGAAAGCCCAGGAAACCCCGAGGGCAAACCCGGACTCCAAACAGCGAACGGCATCGGGCACAAGAAACCGCTGACAGTACCTCCAGGGGCCCAGCCCATGCCACGATGTTCAAAACAGGGCAGTGGGTCAAGAAGTGTTCAGCTGGGGAGGCTCTGCTTAGGGTGGCGGGAAGAACCATGTTTTAGAAAGTCTTCTTATAAAATATTTTTAAATTATGGCGATGAAAAGCTATGCCCATGTAGGACCGATGAAAGACAAAACACCAGATCATTCCTAACAAAGTCATAAACAAAATATTAAGAAACCAAAGGAGATCCATGTGTTTAAATAAATAGCACAACCAAGCATGATTAATTTTAGAAATGAAAATAGTCAAATTTAGGAAAACAATACATTTTATCGCATGAATAAAACAAAAATCAAAGAAACTTCTTTAGAAGTGATAAAAATGCACTTGACACCTAAATTGAACTTTTTTTAAAAAAAAAAGGAACAACTCAGCATACTAGAGAGAACTCATTTTTCCTTTCTGGAATAGTCTTACAAAATACAAAGCCCTGCCTGGCCAGTGTGGCTCAGTGGTTGAGGCGTCAACCTATGAACCAGGAGGTTATGATTCGATTCCCGGTCAGGGCACAGGCCTGGGTTGCGGGGCTCGATCCCCAGTGTGGGGGTGTGTAGAAGACAGCCGACCAATGATTCCCTCTCATCACTGATGTTTCTCTCTTTCTCTCTCCTCTCCCTTCTGCTCTGAAATCAATAAAATATATTTTTTTTAAAAGAAAAAACACTGAGCAAACATTACTGACTGAAATACAAATGTGTTGAGGTTGTGTGAGGTTACCTAACCTTGGAACAGGAGGGAAGAAGGAAGTCTATACCAGCCTGCTCATGAGAATTTTTGCAAAGAATATTGCTATGTTTTTCTCCCCTTGGAAAATGAGGGGTAAAATGCACATTTGTTCAGAATAGAAATACTGAGTATTTTGAATGTATTTTAATCAAAGAGAGGTTTGCAGCAAGAACGAGCCAAAACGATGCTGTGATTTATTAAGTGTGTCTTCCAAAGAAAGATAAAGCAGCTGAGCTGATAATAATTGGACCTCGCACTCTTCTGAATGCCACTTGGCAGGAAAAAATCAGACACAAAACAACGATAAGCCAGGGCTCCGAAAGGGCCTCGCAGGAGGATGACCAGTGAGAAGCTGCCCACCTGACAGACAGGCACTGGAGAGGAGGACTCCAAGGCATGGGGCCGGCCAGAGTGAGATCACCGTCCGCATCGGAGCACACTGCCCAGACAGTGGCCCAGACCCCCCTCTCCCACCTTTAGGGTCCTCCCAAACCAGGGCCCTTGCAGGTCCCAAACCGCTGGAACCCAGGCAGGACAAGCCCTGCACCCTAAATTCACAGCTGCCCCGACGGAGAGGAAACTTCCGAAAGTCACCTTCAGGGTCCCAAGGGATGGACTGTTTCCTGTCTTGTCAAGTACCTGAGCAACCTGCGCCCAGGTACGTAGGCTGCAGAAAACTGACACCGGCTATGTGGGTAACGGAATTACTGAGAAGCTGTTCTGGGGATTTGGCCCCAGAACTGGCCACATGGAAAGAAGAGCCTATTTTGCTGGGTGGTGGGGGGCCCGGGAGTCGAGCAGAGGCATCAATATATATTTATTGAATGAAATATTATCTATTTGAAGTAGATAATATCTTTAGTCAACTCCAAAATTTTATAAAAATGACAGTGGGTATAAATCAAGTTAGTAGTCAATATTTTGATACCTTTCCTGTCTTGTGATATTATGTAACCTAAGTTCTATATAACACTGCTGTCTTGCATGAATGCACAGATATTTAAGTATATCAATAGTTAAATGGATACATAAGTGGATGGAGAAATAGACATGTAGAAAGACTGATAGATAAGTAGATAGACAGATAGATTTTTTTAAAGTGAAAAGATAGATAAGACTTCAAAGTATTAAATTTTATTTCAGACATAAGCCCTCATCTCTTCTGAACTCTTCAACAAACTCAACAGCAAATTTTCATTATGAAGGTATAAAAGGCTAAGAGAAACAACTTCAAAAAATCAACACTCAAGGTTTACAAATTTGGATAATTTGGAGCTAGATAAGGATATCCTTTCACCCCCGATCAGAATAACTCTAGCATCCTAGTTCTTTGGATAATATTATGATGCTTCTTTCTGGTGCAAAAATATTTGACTTAAACTTTATTATGCCAAAAAAAAAATTCCTAAGGAAAGGCTATAAATGAAATACTCCCAACTATTCTGATTGCCATCGAAGACGGCCAAGCTCATGCCTATGCTGACGTAGAATACTTGTGGTAAGGGATGCACTACAGAACCATCCACTGTCCCTTGACCGACTGGCATAGAAACCAACCTCATGACTTTTGCCGGACATTACTCCAGAGGCAGATGAACACCCCTACAGTGTGTTGCCATCGAAAGGACAAGACAGTTCTAATGTGTAAGGAACGCGATTCTCAGATTCTGAAAAACAAAGCCGCAGCCGTTTATGGAGTCATTCTGGCGCTGGTAATCGTAGAGGCCGCCGGAGAATAATAAAAGGAAAGACGTGCCCGTTTTCCCCAGGAGGGACATGCTGAATGCCATATGTCATAAAAAACATTATTAGCACATTCATATCA